TTGTTGAATGAATAAATGAACACTACCTGCCTACCGGAGCTCCTCAAAGGAAGGCTATCCGGAGAATGATCAAAAGATGCTTTTTTCTTGGTCCTCCCCCGTGGGGTTGCCATTACATTAAATAATCTGCAAAAGAAAAATCAGAGCATTAAATAGTAGCATCTGCAAATATTTTTAACAGTCTGGAGCAAGTTATTACACACTTTAGTAGGTAAGAATGTATGTTAGATTGCCTGAATACAAAGTTACAAATTTTTTCTTTTTTTTTTTTGAGACGTCTCGCCATGTTGCCCAGGCTAGCCTAGAACTCCTGGGCTGAAGCGATTCTCCCACCTCAGCTCCAAGTAGTGTGACCAATAAACAAATCACACTATGTTTATAAAATTCAATGAGGAAAACCACCTAGTTTTGTCTATGTTCCTCCCCATTTTACTGTGTCTTCTTAGCAGTTCCTGCACTTTGATCTCTTCTTATACTTCAAAAAGAAAACTCATGGCCGGGCACAGTGGTTCACGCCTGTAATCCCAGCACTTTGGGAGGCCCAGGCAGGCGGATCATGAGGTCAGGATTTCGAGACCAGTCTGACCAACGTTGTGAAATCTCATCTGTACTAAAAATACAAAAATAAGCCAGGTGTGGAGGCATGTGCCTGTAATTCCACTCAGGAGGCTAGGGCAGGAGAATTGCCTGAACCAGGGAGGCGGAGGTTGCAGTGAGCCAAGATTGCACCACTGCACTCCAGCCTGGGCAACAGAGCAAGACTCCATCTCAAAAAAAAATAAAAGAAAACTCATTCATTCCTTCTTAGTACAATTCAACAAATAAATATTAAGAAAACCAACTAGCCACTACTGAATATACAGATCTAAATTAGATAGAAGCACTGGTATCTTCTACTGGAAAAAATTTCCCAAACTAGTCCAATAACAGCATGGTTAAACAAATATTAAGAACCAAAGTCTACAAGAGAAATAATGTGTAGCAGCTATGAAAGATTAAGAGCTAACAGCATTTTTTTCAATTAGATAAGGAATGAAAAATGCTTAGCATAAGTACTCAGTAATATATAGAATCTATAATTATCATTCATCTCCTTTCTTGATCCATTGGATTTAACTACACATGCACACACAAAATGATAAACAAAAAATAAATAGGACATAACAATGGATAAAGAATTTGAAAGTGGAAAAGTAGAACCATAAAATACAAATTCCAGATATATAATCTTAGTCTTGGAGAAAAGCTTTAAGGAGCTTGTAATCCTATTGTTTCATATTTGTGAGCTGTATTAACACTCATAAGAGTATTTTTCATGGATTATTAACATCCTATGGAAAAATTCACTTTGCCATCTACATTGACTCTGGGACATCTTGACATCAATGTTACAGATAATTTTCCTTTGACTTTTTTTTTTTTTTTTTTTGTGATGGAGTCTTGCTCTGTTGCCCAGGCTGGAGTGCAGTGGCGTGATCTCGGCTCACTGCAAGCTCCACCTCCCGGGTTCACGCCATTCTCCTGCCTCAGCCTCCCGAGTAGCTGGGACTACAGGCGCCCCCCACCATGGGCCTGGCTAATTTTTTTTGTATTTTTTAGTAGGGACGGGGTTTCACTGTGTTAGGATGGTCTCGATCTCCTGACCTCGTGATCCGCCCACCTCGGCCTCCCAAAGTGCTGGGATTACAGGTGTGAGCCACTGCGCCCGGACTTCTTTGACTTAATCTTCACTTTCTCAGAACCAATACATATTATGTTAGCTGTGAACACATAATCCCTACATGTTCTGAAATGCATTATAGTTCTTTAAGCATTAAATAAACTGCCATTTAGTTCTACAGCATCTATCACGCTGTTGGAGAAAATGCTAATAATGTTAAAAGTACTATCTACCGGCCAGTACGGTGGCTCACGCCTGTAATCCCAGCATTTTGGGAGGCCGAGGCCGGCGGATCATGAGGTTAGGAGATCAAGACCATCCTGGCCAACATGGTGAAACCCCATCTCTACTAAAAATACAAAAAAAAAAAAAAAATTAGCTGGGCATGGTGGCAGGCGCCTGTAGTCCCAGGTACTCGGGAGGCTGAGACATGAGAATGGTGTGAACCCGGGAGGCAGAGCTTGCAGTGAGCTGAGATCGTGCCACTGCAGTACAGCCTGGGCGACAGAGCGAGACTCCGTCTCAAAAAAAGAAAAAGTACTATCTACCTATAATTGTTATACCCAAAGAAGGCTTTTTGGACTCTATTTTAAACAGGCCGTCCACTCTAACAAATCTCTCCACAGACACATATAAATATGCATTCTTATATATGTAAATATACAAATCTCTTCATTTATATATAAAATATACCTGACATTATTCACAACATGAACCACAAATATAGCATATATAATATAGTATTTGTAAACATATAGCATACATAAAATACTTACATGTGTAGTAAGTATTATAGCAAAAATATCTGAAGTCAAATGTGAGGTTTAGGAACATAAATGAATCAGCTTAGGTTCATGCAACATTTGACCCTGTCACCTGGGAAGGTGTGCATTCTCAAAAGAAAGTATAGTTTCCTGAAATTTCATCAAACATTTTAATCTAACTGAATACTAGAAAATATGTACTTAATGCAACAAAGAATTCAAGAAATAGTTAACAAGGAAATGAAAACGTGAGCTACAAAAGCCATTATTAAATCTGACTGAAGGTTTTTATAGTAGTATATTTTCAACTTTAATTATACAATTGAGGGTTATATGAATCCATTCTAAGAATTTTTGACACTTAATGTAATTCATATATTTCCACTTGCTGGGTCCTTAGGTCTTAAAATGAAGAAAAAACTTTTTAGTATATTAAAATGTTTTCCTTTTTGATTTTTCAAATTAATAAACACACCTAAATATAATCAATTGGTTTCATGCTCAACATTATACACATATTTCTAATTTTTAATTCAAGCATTTAAAATTTGGCTTTGGTTTTCTTTTAATGTGATAAAAGAAAAAAGTGGGGTTTTTTAGTAAATATATAAGTGGATATATCAATATGTAGATTTCATTATAATTCCTAGGTTTTTCTGAAGCAGCTTATTCAAAAAGTTTTTTTTTTTTTCTTTCTTGACACGGAGTCTTCCTCCGTGGCTCAGGCTGGACTGCAGTGGTGCCATGGTTCACGGGATTCTTCTGCCTCAGCCTCCCGAGTAGCTGAGATTACAGGTGTGTGCCACCACGTCCGGCTAATTTTTGTATTTTTAATAGAGACCAGGTTTTGCCACCTTGGCCAGGCTGGTCTTGAAGTACTCCTGACCTCAACTGATCGCCCACCTCGGCCTCCCAAAGTGCTGGGATTACAGGCGTGAGCCACGGCACCCGGCCTCAAAAAGATGTTTAAGAAACACACAGAATTCATACAAATATGAATCAAAAGGACCAATCTAAAATACAAATTCATAGTGGAGTCAGTACAACTTCTAAAAATAGGACAAACTACTAGAAACTTCTTCAGAGACAACAGAAACAGTAATTTTCCTTGGGACACTTAAAATAGGGGGACTAGCACCTTATTACTCCCACACTAATCAAATCTTCAGAAATAGGGATCCAGTACAATTCAATATTGAATTATTCAATATTCAGCATGCAGTTCAATGATTCAATATTAAATCCCCAATTGCCTAGATATCTTTTGTTGACTCTCCCTGCAAGACAATTAATTATTGATGGTAATTTTCTCATGTACCTCCTGAAGAAGCCTTCCCTCCCACTCGCCTTTCTGCCACTAAAATAGATTTAAAAGCACAAAACAAAACTGGCCAAAGCCTTGAGTTATGTGTGTATACGTGGTGTGGGGGATTCCCCAACTGGAGTGGACTGGGGAGTCCTCCAGGCTCACCCAAGGGAAGACTGGGCCTCTATGTGGCTGGTTTCCACATCACTGAACCCTAACTTTCTACAGCTGGGTCGGCCTCTTCCTTCCTCTTTCACCTGTCAGCTGCCCGGCCGTTGACTAACAGCTACCCTAATCGGGCCACCCCTCCTCCAAATCGCCAATCCCAGAGGAGTTACCCCAGCAACCTGGCAATGCTCATCAAGTCTCAATGCGTGGTGGCTGTGCCAGATGATTACTACAACACCTGCAAGGCTGTGTGGGCTCCGGGCCGCACCCTACCGGCCGGGAAGAACAAGCGAGGGAGTTCCTACTCCAGGACCGTGGGGTTCTCCCGCGGCTCTGACAGTCCCCAGGAGGGAGCCCCAAACTCCCGGTGCCAGCTGCAGCCGCCTCGCTTTCCAAGAAGCTTTCGGAAGCTTTTCGAAGTCGGAGAAGCAACTGCCCCGGGGCTCACCTTTTCGCTGAAGAGGTGCCGGGAGTCTCGGGGAAAAGGCACCGCTGTACAGAAAGGAAACATTGTAGGGGGGTTAGGAGACCGGCAACATCGCGACGAATCTGGCGACCCCACTACCCCAACACTCTAGCCCGGGAATTCCCCCTTCTTCAGACAGCTACCCACCCTGCACCCTCTTTTAATCCGGGGCATGAGGTATCCGTCCCTGGGGCACCCGCCCACCTCCCACTACGGCGAGGGGCGCTGCACAGGGGGAGAGGGAGGGCTTGCACCCCAACCAAGCTGCTTTATGCAACGCTGTCACCCGAAATTCGCCACGGTCCCCACGCACGCCCCCGGAGTGGGGAGTCTCCCACCTCTGAGCGCCAGCGAGGCGGTGCGCGCCGCCCTGGACTGCGGGCGCCTCTCCGGAGCCGCGCGCCGCGCGCACAGGACGGCAGGAGCCGCGCCGCGAGCCCCAGCCTCCTCTCGGCCGCCGCCGCCGCCGCCGCCGCTTCCGCCCCTGTCACGGCGTGACCCGGGGTGGGAGGAGCCGACGGGACCAGGGATGGGTAGGGTCCCCGCCTTCGCTTTAGCCGCGGCGCTCGCTCCGCCCTGCCCATTTCCGCCGCTGCGCAAACCCAGGCGCCTGGGGAAGGGGGTGGAGTCTGTGCAACGAGGTACGGGGCGGGAGTGGAGACGCGGCGCCGAGGGAGGGGGCGGGAACTGAGGCGGGGCGGAAAAGAGGCGGGGCGCGGGAAAGAGGCGGGGCGCGGGAAAGAGGCGGGGCGCGGGCGGAGGCGGGGCGCAGAGAGGTGGCGGAGGCTGGCGCGGACCTGGACTGGCTCCTGAGGACGTCGGCAGTGGCGGAGGCAAAGGCTGGCAACGCGCTGTAAGCGAGGTAGGCTCCCTAGGGGGCGGAGGGGGCGGGTGAGAAACGGAACGATTTGCTAGGAGTGTATGCGCTTGTGCTAGGGCTCCCAGGAATTCTTACAAGCGTAGACAACCCAGCAATCAGGCCTGTGAAGTGGGGTTCAGGGCTGAAGTGGAAATTGGGAAGAACGAGATTGGACAATAAATGACCTGAATCCAAGGTCCAATATTTAAAGTGTGTCCAAAGCATTGGTGTGTTTTAATTTTTTTTTTCTTTTTTCTTTTACAGACAGGGTCTCCCTCTGTCGCCCAGGCTAGTGTGCAGTGGCACAATCATAGCTCACTGTAACCTGAAACTCCTGGGCTCAATTGATCTTCCCGCCCCAGCCTCCTCAGTAACTGGGACTACAGGCTCGCTGCACCACGCTTGGCTAATTTTTCAAATTTTTTTTTTTATGGAAACGGACTCTTGGTTTTTGCCCCAGCCTGGTGTATTAATGATTTTTAGAAAAAGAGAAATACTGCCAAATAGTGAGTGATTCCCTGGAGATGTGGGAAACTGGGGTGCTGTAAACATTCTGTCTTGTTCTGTGGTGGGTTACACAGGTGTATGCATATGTAAAAAATTCACCGAGTCATACTCTTTTAAGATTTGTGCACCTTAGGGAAGTTTCTCTTCAATTTTATGAAATTTAAAAACAAAATTATAGCAGATGCTTTTGAAAAGGTGAGAATGGAGACTAGAACAACTTGAGGACTTGTATGACCAAAGGAGCACATCTACACTTTCTGTTTGTGGGCACGAATTATTGTGAAATTTCCCTTCCTTAGTTCTTGTAATGTGCACTTTTTTTTTTATTATAGCAATAAACTTTATTTCTCTAGAAATGGTGTGTACAAGTGGAGTCCATGCTGAGAAATTGTTAGAACAGCTAAGACGTTGAGCCCAGGAGTTTGAAACCAGCCTGGGTAACCTAGCAAGACCCTGTCTCTACAAAATATTTAAAAATTAGCCAGGCATGGTGGTACACCCTTGTAGTCCCAGGTACTCAGGAGGTTGAAGTGGGAGGATTCCTTGAGCCCCAGTGTTGGAGATGGAAGTGTCATTATACGACTGCACTCCAGCCTGGGGGATAGAGGGAAACCCTGTCTCAAAAACAAACAGCTAAGACGTGATTAAATTATGTGCATGATTTTGTTAGACAGTTCAAGTTTGTGTGAAAGCAATAGAGTTGTGCTACTCCAGCTGCTGTGGCACTATGATAAAGATTATGCTTCTCTTTTAAGTAGAGAACTGCTTTATGAAGCCTTGAATTTAGGTTCCAGAGTTTCTGAATGAAAATGAAGATGAGAAAACTGTAACATTATTTTGCTTTTCTATACTCAATATAAATCAGAAATTTTCCACTGACTTCTCAGAAAACTCTGAGAGTCACCTCCTGATACCACCAGGGTCTTGCAGAAGCCATTTGTCAACAAGTCTTTGATAAGAAGTGAATTCGTGTTCCCAAGTAATGAGAGAAATGCCTCCTCCCTATATCCTAACCATACTGAGGCCAAATTTGGCAACAAAAGGGGAAATTTTCCTGAAATACATGCTTTTATGCAATGTTTGCTATTTCACAGATTAATCATTAAATTAGACCCACCAATAATGGCATGCTAGTATAATCCAAACTAGTTTCACTGATAATTTAAAGGGAATGTTGGAATGATGGTGTTATATTGTCCTTAATATTGCAAAGTTGACATTGAAAGAACAGGCATTTTCCTCATACATTCAGATGGATCTGCAGTTATGGTCTGTCAGCTAAAGAATGAGAAGTTCTTAATTTAGAAAGGAGATCTTTTTCTCATGAATGGTTTCGGACTGTAGAGTGGCCATTCTGACAGGCTGAGAAGTGTAGCCTCAGGCCAGAAGCCAGAAACTGACACTTCCAGGGAGGGGCAAAGGGAACAGGAATTTATTCTGAGGAAGGTGGCCAAATATACATATTCAGTAAGCTGTAGGATGACTCATGAATATTTATGAAAGGAGGAAAGGTACCCATGTGTAATTGAGCTTCATGGGTACCATGCACAAAAAATGGCAGTGTTACCACGATCACAGGATGGATGGAGTTTTTGGCCCTCTTACATCAAAAGGTGAAGCAGAGGACAGAAAAACCCTTACTGTGCATTCTCAGTAGACTGGCCAGAACCATTCTGTGGTCTGTGATTTCTTATCAGGCACAAAAGGAGGGGCAGCATCAGGGGGTTGGTTGATATCAATAGTAGAATCTTCTGAAAGGGCTGGTTTCCCTTAAGCCCTTAGGAAACAAAGCCTAACTGTGGTTAGCAGGAGAGGAGATATAGAGTTGTATCTGACATTCTATCTACTCTTGGCCCAGAACTCAGTTTTCAAGGTTACTCTGGGGGTCCCGTTAGCCAAGAAAGTGTGTGGTGAGCCGAGACCGCACTGCTGCACTCCAGCCTGGGCAACAAGAGTGAAACTCCATCTCAAAAAAAAAAAAAAAAAAGAAAGGGAAGAAACTGTGCCTTCAGCCAGTTGAGAGGCTTTGAATTTTATTGTTAGTTTACATTGTACATGTCTTTTATCAGTTTCCTTAGTGTGCATTTCCCATGCAAAAAAAGAAGCTGCAGAAAATTACTTGAAAACACAAATGTGTGGAGTAGAGATAGGATATTAAACTATGGTTCAATATCTACTTTAGTCTGTTTTTGCTGCCTCCTGAAAGTAACAGGATTTTTTTTTTTAAGGCATAAAGTACTAGGATAGCCAGGACAGGAGAGACAAAATTAATAAAATTTTGGAAAGGCAAACGGACAAGTGGGAAAGGATTTTGCAACTTCAAGGAAGCTGAATTCTAAACCAGCAATGAGGAAAGCCATTGAGCAGCCCAGTTTGCATTACAGAATCCCCAAATGCTCAGGATTAGCAGCACCAGGTACCTCCATGAAGTGTGAGAGTATGGTTGAAACAAGAAGGATTGCTTGAAATGCTGGTTCAGAACAGGCCAAATTCCCAGATCCCTTTCTCAACTTCTTGCAACCGAGTGTGTGCATCTCACCACACTTTGGGGGTTTATTCTCTGGAAAGGGTAAAAGAGTGTCTAGACTGAGAAGATACAATACACAGTTGAGCATGGGAACATACAGAAAACATGAGGATTAATTGAGTACAGCAAACTGGATACTGGGACCCTCGCCTACTTTGCTTCTTCTTTTCTTATATGAGTATATAACAGTGGCTCCAACAACAGAATCCTTAAGACAGGAATTGGGAGATCCATCTATGGAAAGTCTGACTAGCACAAAGACATTAAAGACATTAGCCAGGCATGGGGTTGTGCACCTGCAGTCCCAGCTACTTTGGAGGCTGAGGCAGGAGGATCACTTGAGCCCAGAAGTTTGAGGCTGTATTGTGCCACTGCACTACAGCCTGGGTGACAGAGTGAGGCCCTACCTCTAAAAAATAAATAAATAAATACATCTAGGTTTCCAAATGAAATACCCTCACATCACCCTACAATATAAGCCCCACCCACATTCTGTGCCTTTATTCATTCATTTTAGTGCCTATTCTTTTTTTTTTTTTAAGACAAGGTCTTGATCTGTAGCCCAGGCTGGCGTGCAGTGGCACCATCATAGCTCACTGCAGCCTCGAACTCCTAGGCTCGAGCCATCCTCCTGCCTCAGCCTCCTGAGTAGCTAAGATTACAGGCATGCACTACCATGCCTGGCAAATTTTAAAACTGTTTTTGTAGAGATGGGAGTCTCACTATGTTGCCCAAGCTAGTCTGAAACTCCAGGCCTCAAGCCATCATCCTGCCTTGCTCGCCCAAAGCACCGGGTGATTGATAGCAAAAAAAAAAAAAAAAAAAAAAGAAGAAGAAGAAGAAGTTTTAAAATAAGAATTAAGATAAATCTTTGAGAAAATAGTGCGAAAAGATGAAGATACAGAAAAATAGAAAAAATGAGAAATTTACCGTACCACGTCAGAAGATTCTGGAGACAAATAATAGGGGTCCCAAAAGGAGAAATTTAAAAAGCAGAGGGATGGCCAGACTCAGTGGCCCACGCCTGGAATCCCGGCGCTTTGGGAAGCTGAGGCTGGTGAATTACATGAGGCCGGGAGTTCAAGACCAGCCTGGCCAACGTGGTGAAATCTCTTCTCTACTAAAAACACAAAAATTAGCTGGACCTGGTAGTGCACGCCTGTAATCCCAGCTACTCAGGAGGCTGAGGTGGGCGTGATTTTTCACTGTTTAGTGAAAACCTTTAGGGTGCCAACACCCTATGGCCCCCACACTTCTAACCAAGAATTTGATACCCAGCAGAGCTATACATCAAGGATGAGAAAGTCTAACCGAATGGAAAAACAATATTTTTCTTCCTTGCGCTTTTTCAGGAAGCTCTGGAGGTTGGGCTTCACCAATATAAGGGTGGTCACTAAAAAACAACACCAACAAAAAAGAGGAAGATATGAAATAAAGCTGGAGATTTAGACAAGAAGGAAATCTCCAGAATGATGATGAAGAGAGATCCCAAAAAGCTAGGAATAGAGAATAGTCAGGGCAGATTCCAGGAGAGAATTCTCCAAGATGATACTGATAGTATAGCTGATGACTGGAGAGACTGAGAGCGTATTGATAGGAAATTGGGACAATTGGCAGAATTTAGAGTTGAATTAGGAGTAAGTACGATCGTGCCTACATGATGAAGCCTACATAAAAACCCAAGAGGATGGGGTTTGGAGAGCCTCCTAATAGCCGAACAGGTGAAGGTACCTGCAGCTAACCCATCTCTTCATCCGAATCCTCCGCAGTATCCTTTATAATAAATGTGCAAAGATAACTCAGTATTTCTCTGAGTTTTGTGAGTTGCTGTAGCAAATTAAGCAAACCCAAAGTGGAGGGTGTGGGAACCCCAACTTGAAGCCGATCAAGACCTGGACTTGCGACTGGTGTCTAAGTGAGGAGGGAAGTCGTAGGGATTGAACTCCCAACATACAGATCTGACACTATCTCCAGGTAGGTAATGTCAGAATTAAATCAGAAGATACCCAACTGGTGTCCAATATGTGGTGTGCTGGGGGAAGAACCCCCACATTTGGTCGCAGAAATCTGGATGATTGGGGCGTGAGAGAGAGGAAACACTTGTATTAAGATATAATTCAGTTTATTTAACTATCTCTTGTAATGTGTATTAAGGGGTTTGCCTCTACCACCAGGCGCACTGAAAATAATTTTTTGTATCACTTTTTATTGGATGCTGAAATGGCTAAGTGCAGTGACTCACACTTGTAATCCCAGGGCTTTGTGAGGCCAAGACAAAAGGATCCCTTGAGCCCAGGAGTTCTTTGTTGTCTGGACAACAAAATGAGAACCATCTCTCTAAAAAAAAAAAAAAATATATATATATACACACACACACACACACACACATATATATATATACACACAAAAGTTAGCCAGGTGTGATGGTGTGTACCTGAAGTCCCAGCTACTTGGGAGGTTGAGGTTGGAGGATCGCTTGAATCCAGGAGGTTGAGGCTTTCAGTAAGCCAAGGTCTCCAGCCTGGGTAACAGAGAAGACCCTATCTCTTAAAAAAAAAAGAAAGAAAGAAAGATTAGCCGGGCGTGATGGTACACACCTGCAGTCCCAGCTACTTGGGAGGCTGAGGCAGCAGAATTGCTTGAACCTGGGAGGCAGAGGTTGCAGTGAGCCAAGATCACACCACTGTACCCCAGGCTGGGAGACACAGCGAGACTCTGTCTCAAAAGTAAAAACAAAAATAAAAAAAGAAAGAAATATTTTTTTAAAAGTCATACTGCTAAGAATAATAGGTTTTCATTTAGCTCATCAATAGAATTCCAATAACCTTAAATGACAACATTGCAAATATTTTCCACTTAGGCAGGGAAGACATATGCTTGTGAGACAAAGGTGTCTATGAAACTATGGATGGTTCAAGAACTTCACTTGACATCGAAGAGTACTCCGATACTGAGGTACAGAAAAACCAAGTACTAACTCTGGAAGAATGGCAAGACAAGTGGGTGAACGGCAAAACTGCTTTTCATCTGGAACAAGGACATCAGTAAGAAATATTGAGTATATAACAGAGAAACGTTCTATCAGAAACTGACTTTGAGATAGAAATAATCATATAAGTACACATTATTTGACTAATTTTTCAGATGCACATTTAATTCTTCACATTTTTGTGTCTCCTGAATCACAGTGCATCTATGGCATGATGTAGTTTAATTGGCAGTGTCTTTTCTTCCCACAGTGTGTAAATAATGGTGTGACTTACGAATGATGACATCTTAGATTTATAAAATACGTTCTTTGATCCCTGCAGCATCTGTGTATTAGTCATGAATATTTATACCTGCAACAGGTACTCAGGCAATGTTTATGCTTACAGTTCTTTATACTGAAAACCAGCAGTGTCTGACTTTGCTTTCCAATAGGATGTGTTCAGATGCTGAAGAATTATCTCTACGGTGGGAGAAGAGAAGTTGCAAAAAATTAAAAAGTGAGCTAGGATGTTGTGCAATGTAGTAGTAGTCTTCATAGCAGAAGTAAATCATGGGACCAGTGCTGAGTAAAGTGGTCGTTATAGACATTGCTTGTTCTGGGCAGCCACGCCCATCTCCCCAGGAGATGACATCATCATCATCATCATCCCAGAAACACTGGCTTATTTCTGTCGTGTGGATGGCCTTAGAAGAGCCACATCTCCACGAAGGAAATTACAAGAAACTACAAGAGTTACACTTCTCAGGTTTACTTCTGAGACTTGAGTCCATGTCTAGAGAACTTACCATGAAATGAATGCTGAAAAATCCATGGCTCCAGAGGCTCCATCACCCCCAAAATAGTATATATTTAGGGAATTAATAAAGAATTTTCAAAACATACCCAAGAAAAAAAAATTATTTTTAATTACTAATCAGGAGAGCCCTGGGTGTAAGTCAGATTTACCACTGACTGAGTGGGTGTCTGAGCAAGTTACCTGTTTCTTCATATGTAAGCTGGAGAGTATAATAATTAATAGCATCTGCTTATTAAGGTTGTTGGGAATATTAAGTGAGATAATGAATGAAAAGTATTCACCCATGATACAATTGTCCTGAAAACTTTTTTTTTTCCTCCTCAGGCTGTTAAAGAAGCATTTAGATACTTTTCTCAAAGACAAGAGTGGACTGAGGGTATTTTTTCCTCTTTGTGGAAAAGCGGTTGAGATGAAATGGTATGAGCAGATAAACATTAACAGAATTATCTTGTCTTAATGATGAATTCTTTGGGTGATTTAACAGGATGTGAATTTAGAAACTCCATTTTCAGGAAATACACAGGAATTCCTTATGTTTCTGTTAGTGATGGGTATATAATTGGAAATAATATTCTCAAACAGTAAGAAACAACAGAAACAGGTAAGAAGTCTTTCTGGATTGAGTTTCAAAATCAAAAAATCAGTTTGGAGCCAATGTGGGGAGAAAAAACAGCCTTCCCTCTTACATTTCCTGGATCCTTGTATGTGGTTCAGTTTTTGTAGGTGGTTTAGGAATTTAGCTAAGTTAATTTTTAGATATTTGAAATGGTGGTGGACAGAGAAATTCAAAATGAATTACAGCTTTTTGGCAGGACAATGTTCATAGTCCACAGTTCAGCTCAACCTTCCCCTCCCACCAGGGAACACAGGAGTTTCTGTTATCATGAACCGTTGTTATAAAACCAGTGATTAAGAAGGTATTTCTTGTGAGTCATTCTCTACAAAGAGAAATCACTTTCACAAGCCACTTTTACTGTGAGTTACCCTAAAGTCACCTCGACATCATTCTCTATACAGAACTCTGTTGTAATGATAATATACAGACACAATCATACCTGCCAAAATATGCATTTATTTATAAGCTTGAATGTTGAGAACTTTGATCATTGAGCAGGAAAGAAAAAAGAATGTATGAAAAGGTTAGTAAATGTGCCAGGTGTGGTGGTTCCCGCCTGTAATCCCAGCCCTTTGGGAGGCCAAGGCAGAAGGATCTCCTGAGCCCGGGAATTTGAGACCAGTCTGGGCAACATAGTGAGACCCTGCCTCAAAAAATAAATTAAAACTAAAAGATTAATAAATGTAAAATATAATAACGTAAAAATGGTCTATTCTGAATATAAATATCGGTGACTAACACAGAGTATGCATGTATTTTTTGGGAGTTGATTTTCAAGTAGAGATGATAGAATTTTTGCAGCCAGCACACACTCAACTGTAGCTGAGAGCCTTTGTTAGAGGGCTGCTATGACTTTAAGATTCAAGTGTGGTCTTCAATTCGTGTGAAATTGAGAATATTTAAACTATATTACTACACCTGTATTTTAACCAATTCATTGAGCCAGAAGAGATACTTTCTTTTTTTTTTTTTTTTTTTTTTTTTGAGATGGAGTCTCGCTCTGTCGCCCAGGCTGGAGTGCAGTGGCCGCATCTCAGCTCACTGCAAGCTCCGCCTCCCGGGTCTATGCCATTCTCCTGCCTCAGCCTCCCGAGTAGCTGGGACTACAGGCGCCCGCCACCTCACCCGGCTAGTTTTTTGTATTTTTTAGTAGAGACGGGGTTTCACCGTATTTAGCCAGGCTGGTCTCGATCTCCTGACCTTGTGATCCGCCCGTCTTGGCCTCCCAAAGTGCTGGGATTACAGGCTTGAGCCACCGCGCCCGGCCTAGAAGAGATACTTTCAAAACTACCCTCAAAAAAATATTAACTCTATAAACAGATTGTCATGCAATGTCATCATAAATGGTAACAATGTAACAGGTTCTGAGCAAACATTAGGAAAATGGTATGAAATAGCCAATTAAATGTGATTGTTGAATATTTGGGGTCTAAAGTCATTTTTAAAAAATTACAAAAAATATCAGAACTTGTCAGGTGTGTTGGCTCACACCTGTAACCACAGCACTTTGGGAGGCCAAGGCGGGTGGATCACTTGAGGTCAGGAGTTCAAGACCAGCCTGGCCAACATGGTGAAAACCCGTCTCTACTAAAAATACAAAAATTAGCCAAGCGTGGCGGTGCACACTTGTAACCCCAACTACCTGAGAAGCTGAAGCAGGTGAATTGCTTGAACCCAGGAGGCAGAGGTTGCAGTAAGCCCATGCACTCCAGCCTAGGTGACAGAGCGAGACTCCATCTCCAAAAATAAGTGTGTGTATATATATGTAAATACAGTTTTTTTATATATATATAAAAGAACTGAGCTACTGTAATTACATGTAAGAAGTTATGGTAGTAGATGATTTTTCATTTATGTAACTGATCTATGTATTGAGGTCTACACAGACATCAGATGTGAATAGAAAAACTGATCATGAGCTAAGGCCAAAAAGCATTAAAACAAAATGTTTAAGATATTTAGGTTTTGGTTTTTGGTTTTTTGAGACAGTCCCACTCTGTCACCCAGGGTGGAGTGCAGTGGCATAATCATAGCTCACTGCAACCTTGAACTCCTGGGTTCAAGAGATTTTCCCTGCCAACATGCTGGGATAACAGGCATAAGCCACCGCACTTGGTCTTATTTTGTTTTTATTACAGGTTGTAGTAGGCTATGCTTCATTTTTCCATCTGTTGAATGAGAAATAAAAACACATGCAGCCAATTTGAATAACATTTTTGTTTACATTTTATAACTTTAAAATGTATGGAGAATTTTAAAACTCCCTGTATGTTTACAAATATCCTAGGAAATATGAAAGATGAAAGACAATTTATTAATGTTTCATTTTACAACTCAACAGCTCATGCTCTGCCCACACTGAAAGTATGTACTCTTTTGTAGATAAAAGGTACAGTCAGTCCTGCTAGACTTGTTTCAAAACTGAATTCTAACTCAATTGATATATTAGGGAACAATTTGAGCATGAAATAAATTTCACATTTGCTTGTGTGTGATTTCATCTATAAGAAGCCTTAGGTAAAAGCAGAAAACTGCACCCAGTTGAAGTGAGCCATGTATGAATAGAAGGAATGCACAAACATCCCTCAGCTACCTCAGTAAGCATGAGGTCTTTTTCATAGTAAAGTCCCATATTGTAGTATTTATCTATTTCTCAACCATTTAACATGTGTAAAACTGTTGTTATTAGCTTCCTGTTTTTGTTTTTCAGTGTGGCACTGACAAAGATTTTAAATGCTGTGCCCTCACTTTCCCCACCAGCCTGGTGATTTTTATTGTGTGATTTAGCATAGTGCAGTGATTGTAGGAAGGCACATGTTATATTATAGCAGAACTATGTTTTTATTTCACTTGACATAAAATCATAATTGTCCTAGGTATTTGTGCCACCGGTACTGTTTTCTCTTGAGTCCAAGATCCTGAGACTGAGTTCTGTTAATTATAAAACTTACCAGGAGTGTAATCCCAGCATTTTGGGAGGCAGATCACTTGAGGTCAGGAGTTTGAGACCAGCCTGGCCAACGTGGTGAAACCCTGTCTCTACTAAAAATACAAAAATTAGCCGGGTGTGGTGGGGCACACCTGTAATCCCAGCTACTCTGGAGGCTGAGGCAGGAGAATTGCTTGAACCCAGGAGGTGAAGGTTGCAGCAAGCTGATAAATTGTGCCACTGTACTCCAGCCTGGCTGACAGAGTGAGATTCTGTCTCAAAAAAAAAAAAAAAAAGTTAGCTGGGCATGGTGGCAGGCACCTGTAATCCCAGCTACTCGGGAAGCTGAGGCAGGAGAATCACTTGAACCCAGAAGGTAGAGGTTGCAGTGAGCCGAGATTGCGTCATTGCACTCCATCCAGCCTGGGTGACAGCGTGAGACTCCGTCTCAAAAAATGAATAAATAAATAAATAAATAAACAAACAGATAAAATTACCAGGAAAATGCTATTGTATATAACAAATTTTGGATAGTGTTTATTTTAAGCAAATGGAAACTACAAGATTAGTATACAAATGAGTGCTAATGTTCTAGACCTGTTCACTTCAGTACAGTAGCTACTAGCCACATGTGGCTATTTAAATGTAAACTAAATAAAATTTAAAATTCAGTTCTTCAATCACGAGGAGCCAACATGGTTAATGGCTATTTTATTGGACAGCACAGATACAGACATTTTCATCATTGCAGAAAATTTTAATGGGCAGTACTGATTTAGAGAAATTGAAAAGCATTCCTCTAGTCAAATCAATTTGTATTAAATCAGTATTTTAAGTTACATATCTATAATTATATTCCAACTGTTCCATACATAAAAAAATAAGATATATATAATTTTCCAAATGTTTATTGTTTCCTGAGGTCATATAAGTCAGTTTTTCAGAATTTTTATAAGGTTTGAAAATAATATAGATCTGCTTTCCTGCATGTTCTTTGAAACCCTGTGAACCCGAATTCATATAAATTCCTTTAAATTAAAGAAAATATATGCTTACTCCAATATAACCCTCTATTTAGTCATTTGAAAACATAATTTAAGTGTAAATGTATGATTTTATGCAGGTTTGCAAACCGGGGACACAGTGTAATTGGTGTGGAAATCAGTGAACTTGGGATACGAGAATTTTTTACAGAGCAGAATCTTTCTTACACAGAAGAACCAATCACCGAAATTCCTGGAGCCAAAGTATTTAAGGTTTGTTTTGGTTTGGGTAAATAATTGTATCCATATCCCCACAAAAGTTTTTCTCAGCATGAGTATTATGAGGATACCATATATGTGTCCAGTGGTTCCTATTTAGCACACAGATTCATCCTAGACATTATATAGTATCAGGAGCAAGGGCTTAAAAATGTAGGTGATAGCTACCTAAACAGATATAGACATATGTATATAAAAGCTGAGGTCAAAGCCTTTCTGTACTCAAGTTTTTACATTTATTTTTATTAACATGCATTTTCTGAGAACCCATCATGTGCCAGACCCCGCCTAAGATATTGAAGAGATAGAGATAACACCCCCACCCCCCACCCACCCCAACCCTCCCCGCCAAAGAATCTCTTAGTTTAGGAGAGAAGAGAAACAGGGACAAAGCTATTTGTAATGCGTGGAGCTAAGTGTAAAGACATAGGGTATTAAGGAAAGAGATGGGAGTTACACCTGCCCAGCCTGGCAGTGCTTCCTGAAGCAGGGTGACAGATAGAGCTGGAATCAGGCAGGGCCTGGGTCCATGGCCTTGGACACCTGGGGAAGATACTACTTCAGTCACCCAAGAGGCCTCATAGGAAGTGATTTGAAGGGAAGTAGCCTCCTGGCAGAGAGACCAGACAGGAGGCTGTGGCCGTGGTCCAGGAAAGACATCATGAATCCCTGAGCGAGAAGAGTGATGGGGCATAGCGAGTAGATAGGATGGATTAAAGCAACATGTACGATAGACCCACAGGATTCTGTGACCGAATGAGGACCAAAGGAGCGATGAGTTCACATTTCCGGCTCAGATAACTGGCTGGATGGTCAATAATAAGTGAGAAGGGCAGAAAGAACGAGTCTTTTTCTAGAGATGATGAGTTTAAGGGACCTGTGGAGTGGCAAAGGTTTTATGTCTGAAGCATGGAGTGGGGTTTGGGCTGAAAATGATAGGTTTGGGAGTGGTCTTTATGCTATGAGCAGAATGATCCACTGTAAATAAACACTACCCAAGTGAGAACAAGCAGAGAGAATCAGTTTGGCAGAGACGCAAAGGCAGGCAGAGGAGTGAAAAAGCTTTACAGTGGACAAAAGTAAAACTCCCGGCTGTTGGAGGCTGTTGGCACAGGGAAGCTGGAGGTGGGCAACTAGGAATGGAGCATCCTATGTAATTGGTTTGGAGAGCATGTTTGCCTTTCTCTGGCTGGTCCTAAAATGGAAGAAGTGTGATGGTAAAAGTTAGGGAAGCTGACAGTCATTGACCAAGTCACTGCAGAGGTTGTGAAGCGGCTACCTTGTCTAGGGTAAATACCCCAGGTTCGTCGTCTTGTGCTAGGAAAATTTAGGACACAGACACACACGAGGAGTTTAGGAGTGGAGGTTTAATAGCCAAAAAAAAAAAAAAAAAGAGAGAGGGAAAGAAAGAGAAAAGAAAACAACTTTCTAGTGAGAGAGAGGGGACTTCTGAGCGGAAAAAACCTGCCAGGTATGCAACCACCAGATTTTATAGTGCAGCCTTGGAGTCAGTGTCTGATTTACATAGGGCTCACAGATTGGTTCGATCAAGTGTGATGTTTACATAAAGTGCTGGGAAGGCTGGTCTCCCCGCCCTAATCTTATTATGCAAATGAACTCTTCCTTTGGCTGGCGCCATGTTGTCTGCTTCTTACTGTACAGGTGGCTGGCAGAGAAGGGAAGATAGAGCCACCATTTTGAACATGATTGGCACAAACTGCCGGCATCTATGTCTGCAGCTCGATTTTAAAGGCTGCTCTTTGTTAGAAAGAAAAATGATGTGAGGCTGCTTTTCATTAAGAGGAAAACCTTCCATACCCTCACTATCTGCCTAAGTAATTTCTTCTTTTTTTTTTTTTTTTTTGAGTCGGAGTCTCGCTCTGTCGCCCAGGCTGGAGTGCAGTGGCCGGATCTCAGCTCACTGCAAGCTCCGCCTCCCGGGTTCACGCCATTCTCCTGCCTCAGCCTCCTGAGTAGCTGGGACTACAGGCGCCCACCACCTCGCCCGGCTAGTTTTTTGTATTTTTTTAGTAGAGACGGGGTTTCACCGTGTTAGCCAGGATGGTCTCGATCTCCCGACCTCGTGATCCGCCCGTCTCGGCCTCCCAAAGTGCTGGGATTACAGGCTTGAGCCACCGCGCCCGGCAGTAATTTCTTCTTAACTCCTGAATCAGTTGTGGGGTCAGAGTTGTATTGTCATATAGGATCTATCGTCCATCTGTATACTCAGTGTCTCACAAAGTACTCTTTTCTAAATATTGAAATTAATTGCTCAGCTGGGCGTGGTGGCTCATGCCTGTAATCCCAGCACTTTGGGTGGCCAAGGTGGGTGGATCTCTTGAGGTCAGGAGTTCAAGACCAGTATGGCCAACATGGTGAAACCCCATCTCTACTAAAAATACAAAAATTAGCTGGCTGTGGTGATGTGTGCCTATAATCCCAGCTACTCAGGAGACTGAGGCAGGAGAACCACTTGAACCTGGGAGGTGGAGGTTGCAGTGAGCCAAGATCACACCACTGTATTCCAGCCTGGGCAATAGAGTAAGACTCTGTCTCAAAAAAAAAAAAAAAAAAAAAAAAAAAAAAAAATTCTTGCTCAGATCAGTAGGAAACTCGATGGTATTTTTTATTTCACATCTTCCTCCCACCCCATTCTCAAAGCATTAGAGAATCCAAGGAGTTTACTCAGTCCAAAGAGGGCTAGTCCTGCTTCCAGGCCCCTCTTGGAGCAGCAGTTCCCCGTCCAGGCTGCACATTTGAAATCATCTCTGGATCTTATAAAAATTCCCAATCCAAAGGTCTTACCCCAGGCCAGTTATGTCAGAATCTCTAGGGGTGGGGCCCTGGCATCAGTACTGTTTAACGCTCCCCTTGATTCCAATCTGCAGGCAAAATTGAGACCCAGCTGTTCTCCTGCCTCCAGGCCCACCCGTCTCTGGGCTGACCCAGTGATCCCAGGCTGGTTGTCAAAGACCCTTCCTCCTCTACTTGTAAACCTGTGTGGGGACCTCATTTCAGAATAAAATCTAGCAGTCTTGTGCACTGATACACCTTTCCTACACTGCCCTTCATCCCAGCTCCCAGGATCCTAAAGTCTATGTTATTTTGCCCACTCTTGGAGTGCACCCCCAGACCACACCCTAGAATGTCACCCTTTCAAAAGTCACCTCTTTTTTGTTTTGTTCTCTTGATTTTTGTTGTTGTTGTTTATTTCTTAGGATTATTTTGCTCCAAGTGTTCGTTTTTGAGACAGGGTCTTACTCTGTCACACAGGCTGGCGTGCAGTGGCACAATCACAGCTCACTGCAGCCTTGACCTCCTGGGCTCAAGTGACCCTCCCATCTCAGCCTCCCAGGTAGCTGGAACTACAGGCGTGTACTACCACACCCATCTCATTTTTTCTGTAGAGTTGGAGTTTTGCCATGTTGCCCAGGCTGGTCTCATACTCCTGGGCTCAAGCGATCTGCCTGCTTCAGCCTCCCAAAGTGCTGGAATTACAGGTGTAAGCTACCACACCTGGCCAAAAGTCACCTTTTGTTTGGTCTCCCTGATGCTCACAGGCAGGCCCCTGCTCTGCCTCATATGTTCACATAGTTCGCAGGCACAGAACCATAACAGAGCAGGCCGTTCTGGACTGTAATGTTTCTCTGTGCCCACGCTTCTCTGCTGTAGTCTGTCTTCACTGTGGTCAGAGACTGTGTCTAATTCAAATCTGTCTAGAACCCAGGATAGGTGTCTTGTCTACTAGGCACTCAGCAAATAAATGCTCATTGGCTGAATGAATGAGCAAAAATGGAAGAATCAGCACAATTGCACATTTCCGGAATAACTTAAAATACCTGACTTTTCAGTACCACCCTGCCTGGTAATTGGTTGACCTGCAGATTTATCTTTAGCAGAGTAAAAATATCACTCTGCTTGAGGAAACATTGCTAGAATTTTATAGCAAGCTCTGAAGTGAATAACAGCCAACTGATCTTCAAGGTTGTCCTCTGTGATATGCCTCTGAGTTGGCCCAAAAGAACCTCACACAGGTTTTAAAAGAAAAAAATAAAGTGCCAATAAAGTGCAGTAAAATTATTTACTTTAATTATGTTTTATTAACACATTCTTTCCCTAGAACTTTTGCTTTGCTTGGCCCTCTTTTCTTGACTATTCAAGTAAGTACTAAGTAAAAAAAAAATTTTGTTTCATTATTTCATTACAGAGTTCTTCGGGGAACATTTCATTGTACTGTTGCAGCATTTTTGATTTTCCCAGGTAGGTTGAATACTGCATCTGCACTTTAAAAAACTTGAATGCTTGCCAAGCAGTGCAGGCATGGGAGTGGAGGTCTCTTCATCACTCTCCTCCACTTGTGTAACAACCACAAAGCATTTTGTTTTTGTTTTTGTTTTTGTTTTTGTTTTTGTTTTCTTGAGACGGAATCTCACTCTGTCACCCAGGCTGGAGTGCAGTGGCCGGATCTCAGCTCACTGCAAGCTCCGCCTCCCGGGTTCACGCCATTCTCCTGCCTCAGCCTCCCGAGTAGCTGAGACTATAGGCACCCGCCACCTTGCCCGGCTAGTTTTTTGTGTTTTTTAGTAGAGACGGGGTTTCACTGTGTTAGCCAGGATGGTCTCGATCTCCTGACCTCGTGATCCGCCCATCTCAGCCTCCCAAAGTGCTGGGATTACAGGCTTGAGCCACTGCGCCCTGCCCACAAAGCATTTTTTTGAATGTCTGTTCTGCAGGTATTTTTGTTACATTCTTGTCTGCACACTTTAATGTGTTTTGTCTTTGGTTAGCTCCCAAACTATGGGAAACTGAGGCAGCTAGGGAAAAAGAAAGGTGAGTAAGACAGTGTCTTCTACCTTGCACCTGGGCCTATAATAGAAATGAATTTCAAGTGGCCGAGGGAGATAAGAGCTCATCTCCTGAAAGTCCCTGATACCTGAGCCAGAGGCTGGGAACAGAGTTGTTGCACACCATCCTTTATTCTTTCTTCATGTCCCCAAATCATACCAGAGTGGGGAGGCTGCTGCCACAGGCCCCTAAAACCGTGAGGGGATGGACAGCTCTCCACACTCAGGTCCACACATCCTTATGGACTCTATGAGGAAATGCGGACGTGAGATCCTAGTATCTGGACGATGTTTGAAGTACCAGCATGCACCATGGGGGGCGCTGTTCATCTTCTTAAAGATTTGATTTTCCTCCCATAAAATGTTTTTTCTCTTTCTGGTAGGACAAATATTGGCAAATTTGACATGATTTGGGATAGAGGAGCATTAGTTGCCATTAATCCAGGTGATCGCAAACGGTAAGTAATTTTTCTTTTTTTGTTTAGCCTTCTTAATTTTTTAGTATTCTCTACTTTTTCTGGGTTCTAGAAAATCAGCTACACTTTTTTGAGTTTGAAATAGCTTATTATATTTGGAATTTATAAAGACCTAAATCTAATACCAGCTTTGTCTAAAAAAGTATAGGATTTGGCTACAGAGACCTGGGTATAAGGCTATAAGGCTTGTGGCTGTATCACTTTCAAGCTGTGTGGCCTTGGTCCAAGTATGCAACTTCTCTAAGCTTTGGTTTACTCCTGCAAAATGGGAATATTTCTGTAATACTAACACAATCATCACCACCTCCACTAATATTACCAGGTAATACTCATTGGTCACTTGCCTATGCCGGGTATTGTTCAAAACACTTTATGTGGGCGGGGTGCGGTGGATCACACATGTAATCCCAGCACTGTGGGAGGCCAAGGCAGGAGAATTACTTGAAACCAGGAGTTTGAGACCAGTCTGGGCAACAAAGCAAGACACCACCTCTGCAAAATATTTTTAAAATTAGCTGACTATGGTGGTATGTGCTTGTAGTCCCAGCTACTTGGGAGGCTGAGGCAGGAGAATTGTTTGAACCCAGGAGGCAGAGGTTGCAGTGAGCCAAGATTGTGCTACTGCCCTCCTGCCTAGGTGACAGAGCAAGACGCCATCTCAAAAAAATAAGTAAACATATAAAAACAAGTTAGGCTCCACATCAGTGAAATAAGATTTTTATTTTAAAAAATTGTTTCATCAGTAAGGCTTACTGCCAAACCTAACCTTTTTAAATTAGACCATGCCACATCTTAATTTTCATGCTCCTGTTTCCCCCTCTTTGTCACTGTTCCTCCTTTATCTCTTTTCTAGAACTCTCGTCCTCCTTGCATGCCTAAAAGTCGTGATTCCCCAAGGGACCACCATCCTCAGCCTTTTGCTCTCACCCAAAAATTGCCAATATTTGTCCTACCAGAAAGAAAAAAAAAAAAAACATTTTATGAGAGAAAAATAAAATCTTTCTTCTTTCTTTCTTTCTTTCTTTTTTTTTTTTTGAGATGGAGTTTCACTCCTGTTGCCCAGGCTGGAGTGCCATGGCGCTATCTCGGCTCACCTCAACCTCCGCCTCCCGGGTTCAAGCGAATCTCCTGCCTCAGTTTCCCAAGTAGCTGGGATTATAGGCATGCTCCACCACACCCGGCTAATTTTTTTGTATTTTTAGTAGAGACGGTTTTTAATAGAGTAGGTTTCTCCATGTGGGTCAGGCTAGTCTCGAATTCCCAACCCCAGCTGATCCACCCGCCTTGGCCACCCAAAGTGCTGGGATTACAGACGTGAGCCACCACGCCTGGCTGAAAAATCAAATCTTTAAAGATCAATTCTGTTACTTTCATTCAGCTATTCAACAAATATTTACTAAGTTCCTGCGATGCTCTAAATATATACTGTGCCAGAAGCAGGGGAAATAACTGAACAGATTATACATGGTATTTGCTCTGACAATCTTTACATTTCCAGCTCTGTTCTTTCTCCCAAACATCCACATCACATGTCCAGTGTCTGCTTTGCATTTCCCATGTGACATCAGTGTCCTTTAACAACTCAAAATATCACTGAGACCTGTCTCCATAAGACACATTTGTATATGAAACCTGATCTGCTAATGTCTAAATTTGTAGGTGTTTCCCACTCCCTAAAGATGTTCATCCACTCCTTAGAGGTTAGTCCTTCTACAGGCTCTGGTTGGCATGGTAAAATCCACCAAGCAGTGGGAAGCAAACTGAAAGTCACCAAGTGCAGACCAAGAGTAGACACAGCACTTTGGGAGGCTGAGGTGGGCAGATCACCTGAGGTCAGTTATTTCCCCAGTGTCTGGCATAGTATATATTTAGCACCTCGTAAGAGCTTAATAAATGTTTTTGAAATAAATGAGTAGAGGAACTAGGGTTTGAGCTTGGGCATCTCGTAGAGTCCACACTCCTAATCTCCACACTTGCCTCCCCAACTTCTCACAGACCTCTGGACACAGATCATAGTCTAGCCAGGCTCTGTAGAAATTGGAGTGCCAAGAGCGCAGGCTCCTTCCTCAGTGTGGGGAAGAGTGTCCATCTTTGTCCTTGACCTGTCTCTCGTGGCCTCTCCACCTCCCTGCATGCATCTCCTGTCCTCTCCTTATCCCTCAGCTTCCTCCATTTTTATTCCCACATAGCTGACTTGCCTTCAACCCTCAGCCTCCTTGCTCCAATCACCATACAACAGAAAAGCTCCAACTTTCAGTAGGACCACAGCTAATTAGCAATTCCTCTTCGGTCTCTTAATTCAATTTCCAAGTCAGTCATCTGATTGGGCAACTCATCGTCTGTCCCTGGTCCAGCCCTGGCTTCTGCCCAGTCCATCGATGGGTCCTGTTAGCATCAGCTTCCCGCTCTGAGCCAATCAGACCTGGCTGTCAAAGGACAGTTCCATTGCACTCATGGTTTACGGCACACTTGCAGAGCTTTCATTTCGTGCCACCTTTTTTTTGACCTGCTTGTTATTCTAATTTCTCTCTAATTAATAGAGGAAAAGAATTGTGTTTTCTCTTACATAAGGCCCCTGGAGGGGTCCTAGTCACCCAGGATATTTGTTAAATTGCAGCATCCCAGGCCCCATGGCAAACTGACTGCATCGGTCTATGGGGATGGAGCTTGGGCATCTTTTCTTTCAACAAGCACCCCGGTGATTTTGACACCCAGCCTGGTCTAGAAACCACTGCCCTCAAGCACACAGGCATCCAAGCAGGCCCTCGAGTACTTCTTCAGGCCAGGAGCCTCTACCCAACCTTATGTGATGTCTTCTGCTCTGATCAGCTCTGGAAGCAGGCCTCGATTTGATTCCCATTTGGACCAATTCCCAGCTTAGGCAGGGGCCATAATTTGCTAAACCCACTTCTCACTTTTAAAATGAGAATCAACCTCTTGTGATTATTAGGAGAATTTAAACTCAGTAATATCATCCAAAGTAACTTCTGGCTTCCTTCCCTGCCTTTTGTCCCTCCAGCCTTTGCCTGTGTAGAGAAATGTAACGAATACCTTCTTGTGTTCTTTTAGCTATGCAGATACAATGTTATCCCTCCTGGGAAAGAAGTTTCAATATCTCCTGTGTGTTTTTTCTTATGATCCAACTAAACATCCAGGTAAAGTTGTTGGGTTTTGTTTTTTTTTTCTTTTACTAGTTACCTAGTTTCTTGATATAAATTCTCTGACATGGAAAAGCATTATTTTCTCCTAATTTATCTCACAGGAAGCATACTGCATATATACATGGAGGTAATTCCAGTTTTGGCTAATGGGAACTATAAGAATTTTTTCTCTTCCTATATTGTCCATGATTTTCCTGTATTCCTTTCTCATTTTGTTTACCATTCACAACTCAGACTGGAGAAAGGGGGGAAGTGGATGATCCTGATATACAAGAGAAATCTCATGAGCCCTATTGGGAGGAAGGTGGAATGTGGTTGGATATTGCATATCCATATCATCCAAGTGGTAGTGATGTGTTGGACGGATGCCTTCACATACACAAGCCCGGGGTGAGAAGTGAATATGGGGATGTAGGAGTTGTGCAGGAAAAGCTATAAATTATTGTCCTTTTTTAATTTCTGAAGTTTTAAAATCTATCTATTGCATTCTTTTATTTGTTTTGAATCTGTTGGGGGTATGTTTTCTCCTGGACTCATTTTAATGCATTCGAACATTGAAACTTAACCTTTGTCATGGCTGGACTTGTAAAGGGAGAAATACGTAGACTTTTAATTTGTAAGAATCACCTTTTTGATTTTCAACTGAGCCTTTTTACATGCTTGTTTTTTAAGTATTTACATATGTTAGAATTTTGTTTTTTGTTTTGTTGTGTTTTGTTTTGTTTTTGAGACACAGTCTCACTTTGTGGCCCAGGCTGGAGTGCAGTGGTTTGATCTCGGCTCACTGCAATGTCTGCCTTCCAGGTTCAAGCGATTCTCCTGCCTCAGCCTCCCAAGTAGCTGGGATTACAGTGTATGCCATCACGCCCAGCTAATTTTTGTATTTTTAATAGAGACAAGATTTCACCATGTTGGCCAGGCTGGTCTCAAACTCCTGACCTCAGATGATCCGCCCTCCTCGGTACAGGCATGAGCCACTGTGCCCAGCTAGTATTTTGTTTCTGTTTGAATAAATTGAGGTCTTAAAAAACTCATTAAAAGATGAGACCTAGTGTCCCTAATTAAATCAGAGACAATCAAATGGAAATAGAAATTAATAGAGGCAGAAGTTAGCTCTGCTAATCTGATTTAAATTCCATTCATGAATAGGAGCCCTAACAAAGAACCTTTGGGAAGAAAATACAGCAGGCCCTGTCTGGAGGTGGATGGCTGAGGTTACTGCTCTTAGAAGGGGGCGGAAGCTCAGCTTCCTTATAGTCTATATCCTGCAGCAGAGCAGGAGGGGTGTATAAAATGTGGGTAAGTGCAGGAGTTGGTAGAAAATCAGTATACTAGAAGATGGTTGAAGCCCCAAAGGAATCTGCTGATGGACTCCACTCTGATTTCAATGAGCCTAAGTCTCTTGACTGGCTTAGCTGTCTCATCGAAGCTAAAGATGGATATGATGGGTATGTAACATTGCCATCCTCTCAGCAAGCCAATGTATTTATTCAGTATGAGATTTGCAAAAGAAGAATGAGAAGAACATGCCACATAATCACCTATTTGGATAACGAAGTTGTATATAGAACAAGTACACCTAGGTCATTGGAAATAAACTGAGAATTTATTTCTCTTTTACCTAGGTCCACCATTTTATGTTCCACATGCTGAAATTGAAAAGTTGCTTGGTAAGTTTGTGGACTTATGCTGTAACTTTTTAAATAAAGTCAAGTTAACTCTTTTAGGCCAGGCGTGGTGACTCATGCCTGTATTTCCAGCACTTTGGGAGGCCAAGGTGGGCAGATCACCTGAGGCCAGGAGTTCGAGACCAGGCTGGCCAACATGGCGAAACCCCGTCTCTACAAAAATACAAAAATTAGGCCAGTGTGGTGGCATGTGCCTGTAGTCCCAACTATTTGAGAGGCTGAGGCCTGAGAATTGCTTGAACCTGGGAGGCAGAGATTGTAGTGAGCCAAGATTGTGCCACTGTGCTCCAGCCTGGGTAACAGTGAGACTCCATCTAAAAAAAAAAAAAAAAAACACCAAAAAAATCTGTTGTGAACTATTAGTATATTAGTATCTAGAGTATGTCTATAAAATTTAAAAGATAAAGATCATTTTATTTAAAATTGTTTTATCTTAGAAAAGGAACTAATCTCTGTAAATATGCTCTGTATATATGCTATATGCTTTATGTTAAAGGCATTTGAACTTTTCTAGAGAGATGGTATATTTTTATTTATTTATTTATTTATTTATTTATTTTTGAGATAGGATCTTGCTCTGTCACCCAGGCTAGAGTGCAGAAGTGCAATCACAGCTCACTGCAGCCTCGACCTCCCTGGGCACAAGTGATCCTCCCACCTCAGCCTCCCAAGTATCTGGGACCAGAGGCATGCACCACAATGCCTAGCTAATTTTTGTAATTTTTTGTAGAGATGAGGTTTCACCACATTGCCCAGGTTGGTCTCGAACTCCTGGGCTCAAGCGATCCTCTTGTCTTAGTCTCCCGCTGTACTAGGATTAGAGCCATGAGCCGCCATGCCCAGTGGTATATTTATTTTTTTCTTGGGAGTTAAAAGTGATGATAGCAATTCAGAGTTCAGGAAATTTGGCCTTAGCATTCCTTTGTTTTGATTAAAAAGAAGAGAAAAACCTTTAGTATACACTGTTTTTAAAATAATTTCAAGGTTTTGTTTGTTTTGAGATGGAGTTTCACTCTTGTTGCCTAGGCTAGAGTGCAATGGTGCAATCTCAGCTCACTGCAACCTCTATCGCCCAGGTTCAAGCGATTCTTCTGCCTCAGCCTCTCAAGTAGCTGGGATGTGCCACCATACCCGGCTCGTGTTGTATTTTTATTGTCTGAGCCAGACTGGTCATGAACTCCTGACTTCAAGTGATCCATCCACCTCGGCCCCCAAAGTGTTGGGATTGCAGGTGTGAGCTGCCACACCCAGCCAATTTTAAGTATTTTTAAAAGAATCCCTGATGTCATTCTTCATAGTATTTTAATGTGTTACTCTTTCTTGTTTCAGGTAAAATATGCAATATACATTGTCTAGAGAAGGTTAATGCTTTTGAAGAACGACATAAAAGTTGGGGAATTGACTATCTTTTTGAAAAGTTGTATCTACTTACAGAAAAGTAAATGAGACATAGATAAAATAAAATCACATTGACATGTTTTTGAGGAATTGAAAATTCTGCTAACACCTGAAAATGTAACAGATTAATTTTTTAAATTGTTTATAAATCATATGATAGATCTTTACTAAAAATGGCTTTTTAGTAAAGCCGTTTACTTTTTCTAAAAAAGTTTTAGAAGAAAAAGATGTAACTAAACTTTTAAAGTAGCTCCTTAGGAGAGGACATTATGATGTGGAAGATTATACCTGTGTGTCGTGCAGATTACAAGATACTTTACCAATCAGCATGTGTTACCTGTACAATTAAAAAAAATTTTAAATGCAATGCATATTAAATATAATACACACGGAAAAACTGGCATTTATTTTATTTTATTTTATTTTTTGAGATGGAGTTTCATTCTTGTTGCCCAAGCTGGAGTGCAATGACGCAATCTCAGCTCACTGCAACCTCCACCTCCCAGGTTCAAGTGATTCTCATGTCTCAACCTCCCGAGTAGCTGGGATTACAGGTGTGCACCACCACGCCCAGCTAATTTTTTGTATTTTTAGTAGAGACGGGGTTTCACCATGCTGGTCAGGCTGGTCTTGAACTCCTGATCTCAGGTGATCTGCCCACATTGGCCTCCCAAAGTGCTGGGATTACAGGCATGAGCCACTGCACCCGGCCTGACATTCTTTATGAAATTTAGAATTGTCGAAGAAATATAACACTTCAGTAGCGTTCAAGGTGGTCCCAAAAGTTATATAAAAGATTAGTTTTTACTATAAACCTTTTTTTATTTATTTTTTATTTTTATTTATTTATTTTTTTTTGAGACGGAGTCTTGCTCTGTCACCCAGGCTGGAGTGCAGTGGCCGGATCTCAGCTCACTGCAAGCTCCTCCTCTCGGGTTCACGCCATTCTCCTGCCTCAGCCTCCCGAGTAGCTGGGACTACAGGCACCCGCCACTTCGCTCGGCTAGTTTTTTGTATTTTTTAGTAGAGACGGGGTTTCACCGTATTAGCCAGGATGGTCTCGATCTCCTGACCTCATGATCCGCCCGTCTCTGCCTCCCAAAGTGCTGGGATTACAGGCGTGAGCCACCGCGCCCGGCCCTATAAACCTTTTTTTAAAGTCTTTTACTCAGATCCTAGCATCCCTTTTCACATGGTGTCTCCATATATAACAGAATCAAGAAACAAATTTTAATTAAACAATCTGTAATGGAATCAAGAAACAAACTTTAATTAAATAATCTATGTGGAATAAACATTCCCAAATTCTAAGAGTAAATTTTTCTTTGAGTTTTCTCTTAGTTTGGCAGTTGTTGTTTTTTATAATTTAACCTGTTTACATCATCAGGTCTTATAAAGTATAATGTACTTAGAGCTGGATTCATGGCTGTTTATTATGAAAGTTTAGATTTTTCAGTTTTTCATTAACGATCACATTTTGTTATATCAGACAGTCCTCTACAGCTCTGTACTACCCAACAACTAAATGGTTTAGATTGTTCAGCTCATGTTAATAGGATAGTTGTGCATCATAAAAAATGAGTTACGTGTGTGTGTGCGCATGCGTGTGTGCTGGCTTAAAGGTTGTTAATGGGGGGGGGGTTTGGGGTCCCCTTTAACATTGGTGAAAGCTATGGTATTCTCCCCAGAGATATGTCTTGTCAACCTCTCTAGTTCTCCTTGACCTGCATGTACAAACTTCTACCCTAGAAGCTCTCTGCCATTGATGTATTCTAATAGATTTGTAAGGCTATTAATTTGAAGCACCTCCTTGCCCACAATGATTCTTGCATCTCTGAGACATGCTCCCAGTCTATCGTGTGGGCTTCAGAAGCCATGACTCCCCAACTCTGCCTGCATCACCAGTTGAATGGAAAACTGACCCAAGCTGGACCAACACAATTCTCTCCAGAGACTTTTGATTTTACTTTTTTTGTAGAGACAGGGTCTCACTTTGTTGTCCAGGCTGATGTGGAACTTGATGTGAGGCCTCAAGCAGTGCTCCTGTCTCAGCCACCCAAAGTGCTGGGATTACAGGTGTGAGCCATTGCGCTGGCCCTCTTCATAGACTTTTGGACTTGGGAATAGAAAGGCAACCCTGTCTCTACTAAAAATACAAAAAATTAGCCAGGTGTGGTGGCACGCACATGTACTCCCAGCTACTCAGTAGGCTGAGGCAGGAGAATCACTTGAACCTGGGAGGTGGGGGTTGCAGTGAACTGAGATCACGCCACTGCACTCCAGCCTGCGCAACAGAGCGAGACTCCATCTCAAAAAACAGAAAAGAAAGAAAGCCAAGTTGACTGCTGAATGGGGAATCTGTAATGTGTACGCCTGGGGGCTGTGGGGCAGCCACATTCCACCACGTGGATCTGAGAAACAGAATGCTGATCTGCGGAAAGAGAGGCCACCTGTGTTCTGGGTCCATTTTCATCCTTCCTGAAGCCCAGCTGCCCAGGGTGGGGAAGAACACCCTGTGTCCATGGGATAGAGTCCTCTCCTCTTGCACTTGTGCTCAAAGAATCTTCAATAATACAAATGAGATATCCTTCCGTAGTTGATCTTTTATGTAATATGTGTCTTCATTGGGGAATACTGACTTCTCAAAGTCTCAAGATGGAAGATATACCACATATAAATTATTTTAGAGCAATTGAATTGTTTTTAGGATTTTCCAAAAATGCTTCTTGTTTCATTTTGTTATTTAAGTAACAGATTATCTAAGCCTCTGTACCCTGCACACTGTGGTTTACAAATGCCTTGCCCTGCCTATGAAGCAGGCACGAATGCTCCAGTGTAGACAATGTTATCAGTAGCAGACAGGACAAAGAAAGAAAGGTATGTAATAATCAGTCTGTTTGGGTGAATGTGGAAAGAAAAATACAAAGAAATATAACCAAAGCTTAAACAGCTATCACTGGCAAGTTAGAGATTTGGCTCCATAAAGAATGGCACAGGGACCACGGAAGGTGGCCCGAAAGATGTACCTATGAGAGAGCTCCCAGCTGACGGGATTCGTTGGCAGAATGAAGTGACAAATACAACCCAAGCCACGGAGATATTAGTTCAAGTAATTTACCCAGTCACAACTGCAGTACATACCTGTCATTGTTTTATTTTAATACAAGGGAGCAATTTCAATGTGTGTTTGTGGATACATGTATATGTTTATGTTGCACCTACTCCTTATTTTTATTTTTTATTTTGAGACAGGGTCTCACTCTGTCACCCAGGCTGGGGTACGGTGGTGTGATTATAGCTCACTGCAGCCTCGGTTTCCTAGGCTTAAGAAATCCTTCTGCCTCAGCCTCCTGAGTAGATGGGACTGCGGGCATGTGCCACCACACCCAGCTAATTTTTTTTTTCTTTTTAATAGAGATGAGGTCTCACTATGTTGCCCAGCATGATCTCGAACTCCTGGCCTCAAGTGATCCTCCCACCTCAGCCTCCCAAAGTACTGCTCAGCCTACACCTACTCTTTCTGAAAAGTCAGAATAAGATTTCTACTGAGTGCTTTTTAAAAATCAAAATTATCAGCCGGGTGCAGTGGCTCACGCCTGTAATCCCAGCACTTTGGGAGGTCAAGGTGGGCGGATCACCTGAGGTCGGGTGTTTGAGACCAGCCTGGCCAACATGGTGAAACCCCATCTCTACTAAAAATACAAAGATTAGCAGGGCGTGGTGTCATGTGCCTATAATCCCAGCTACTCAGGAGGCTGAGGCAGGAGAATCGCTTGAACCTGGGAGGCAGAGGTTGCAGTGAGCTGAGATCACGCCACTGCACTCCAGCCTGGGCAACAAGAGCAAAACTCTGTCTCAAAAAAAAAATCAAAATTATCTTTAATCCCCACAGCTCTGACTCCAATCGCTTCTTATGTGATGGCTTTTTGCCTTATAAAACATTATATGACAAACTGATCAGTGGCTGAGTTAATGGGAATCGGATAGAATTCTATTTATGTGCCTTAAGCATAGTCATTCTGATTTGCAGAAAATAGCCATGTCCCAGATTTATTAATTATGTGTAGCTGTAATTTGTGGGCTGAAAATATGTCTGAAAATCTGTGATTCCTAAACAGTGAGTATTAATAGAAATTTATTTCACTATCAGTGTTAACTTTCAACAACAGGAGGATAATCAAGGCAGATATTTAGAAATGAAATATACCATAAAATATTAAGTTATTTATATTTAAACAAGACAAATAATCCTTTATGCATTGAAAATTTAGGAAGTTTAAAAAGAAAAACAAAAGCAATCAAGTCCTGTCACTGGAGATAATTACTGCTATGATGATGATGTATTTTCTTCTCATCTTTTTTGTCTGCTCATACACGTGTATGTTTTCACAAGGTTGTGATCATATTACGATACAGCATTGCATCTCCACTATCTTCCTTCCTATGTATTCGCCCTTCGCCATGTTGAGGCAGGAGAATAGGGTCTGGAGGCAAGGAACCTAAGGCTGATTGATGCTGACTTCCTAGAACTAAATTGAAAGGAAAACCTCAACTTTCCATGCCTAAGTAACAAAAGGACCAGAGGCTACTCCCTTTGTAACACCTCTCCAACCCCCCCCCACCCCGCCTCCCCGCCTTTTCTGAGTGGCAGAAACGTCTGCAACCAATCAGACGTTTGCATGGGAGTGTAACTTTTGTAACTTCACTTCAGCCTCTGGTTGCAGAAAGCAAAAGCAACCAATCAGACTGATGGCAGGCCACTACTTTATTTGCATGGGATGAATACCAAGTGGCTAATGGGAAACCTCTAGCCGGTATTTGGACCCCAGAAGATTCTGTAACCAGGGCCCTTGAGCCACTGCTTAGCCAGGTCCCACCCTCATTTTCAATAAATCCGTGCTTTCATTGCTTCATTTTGTCCAATTCTTTGTTGAAAAAGCCAAGAATCTGGACAACTTGTAGTCAAGACCCTCTACTGGTTACAACATCACTAAATAGTTTTCAAAAGCAATTTTTTTTTTTTTTTTGAGATGGAGTCTCGCTGTGTCGCTCAGGCTGGAGTGCAGTGGCACGAGCTTGGCTCACTGCAAGCTCCGCCTCCCGGGTTCACGCCATTCTCCTGCCTCAGCCTCCCGAGTTGCTGGGACTACAGGTGCCCGCCACCACGCCTGGCTAATTTTTTGTATTTTTTATTAGAGACAGAGTTTCACCCTGCTAGCCAGGATGGTCTCGATTTCCTGACCTCGTGATCTGCCCGCCTCGGCCTCCCAAAGTGCTGGGATTACAGGCGTGAGCCACTGCGCCCGGCCCAAAAGCAAGATTTTTAAATAGCTGTATAATGTTGTAATGTGGCAGTACCATTATTATTTAGTCTTTCTCCTGTTATTAGAGTCAGCATTCATTCAGCAATTTAAGTACTGTTGGGTGTGCTAGCAGATAAAGGTTTATTGACTGTTGAAGATAGTCCTGTTCTCAGACATCACAGGTTGTAGGAGTAGGGGCTGAACACTGAACTTTACTATATAGCATGGTACGGCTGTCTTAGGGGTACAGGCTGTACAATCTTTGGGTCAGATGACATTTGATTAGCAAACGTTCTTTCTTGTCTTACATTAAAACTCTTTGCAGGGGCCTTAACAGGGTATAAAATGCTGTGTTTTCTCAGAAATCCAGCAAATCAGAAGGTGAATGATCATGATTATGATCTCTGAAGGAACAGAAATTCTCTGATATAAGGTTTTGTTAAGCACAATGTTCACATAAGACATTTGGGGGAGAACCCCTTAAAATAAGAGATCAGGGCCAGGCTCATGCCTGTAATTGTAGCACTTTGGGAGGCTGACGTGGGTGCATCACCTGAGGTCAGAAGTTCAAGACCAGCCTGGCCAACATGGTGAAACCGCATCGCTACTAAAAATACAAAACTTAGCCGTATGTGGTGGTGGGTGCCTTTAATCCCAGCTACTCGGGAGGCTGAGGCGGGAGAATTACCTGAACCCAGGAGGCTGAGGTTGCAGTGAGCTGAGATCATACCACTGCACTCCAGCCTGGTGACAGAGCAAGACTCCATCTCAAAAAAAAAAGAAAAGAAAAAAAGAAAAAAGAAAAATGAGAGATTCATAATACCACAATGGATTCTTCACGCAGATTATGCTATCCCTTGTTTGAAGATTTTCCAACATATGGCAAATTCTCTTTGCTTTTGGTCTTCACTGAGATTGAAAAAACTGAATTTAGTGCCATTTGAAGGAATTATTATAATGCAGCGGTTCTCAAACTTGGCTGTCCATTATAATCACCTGGGGAGCTTTTATAAATCCCAGCTGTCCAGACCACACCATGGGCCAACTAAATTTTCGGGTGTGACCCAAGTGTTTACCATGTGCAAAGAAGTTTGAAAATGACTAAAATAGGTAACTCTGAAGTCAAACTGCCTGGCTTCAAATTCCAGGCCAGCCACTTCCTAGCCATGTGACCCTAGGCAAGATATTTGATTTATGTGAACTCTATGAGAAAAAAAGATGATAAAAATAACATTTTCTTGTAGGATTGCTATGAGGTTTAAACAAGATAATCTATGTAAACTATTAAGTTGCTGCAAAAGTAATCACGATTTTTGCCATTAAAAGTGATGGCAAACACTGCGATTACTTTTGCACCAACCTAACACAACAGGGCAGGCATATGTGAATTCTATAGGCTGGGCACAGTGGCTCACACCAGCACTTTGGGAGGCCAAGGGGTGGGGAGGATTGTGAACAATTTTCACAAGTTCAAGACCAGCCTAGACAAACACAGAGAGACCTCCTCTCTACAAAAAAATTTTAAAAATTAGCCTAGTGTGGTGGTTCATGCCTGTAGTCCCAGCTACTGAAGTGGGAGGATTGCTTGAGTCTGGGAGATGGAGGCTGCACTGAGCTGTGATCGTGCCCCTGCACTCCAGCCTGAGTGACAGAGTGAGACTTGGTCTTTAAAAAAAAAAAAAAAAAAAGTTCTATGGTAATTATTATTAACTAACAGCTTTCTTATTTCATATTAATTACTCTGCAAGACACTTCCAGCGTGGTTCCCCCATCTGACACTCATTCACCTAGTTGATTTTTTGTTGTTGTTCTATAACATTCTTTCATTCATGCACGAATTCATTTTACAAGTATGTATTCATTGACTTAACAACGAGTGTGAAAGAAGACACAAAAGAAATATACACATCTGCCTCACCTCCCTTGGAGTTTGTCTTCTCCCGTGTGCTCGTGTTTTCCAGTTCAGATCAAAAGCATCATGAGCTAGGGGACCATGTTTGATGCCTGGACAGCCCTAGCACCCAACGCTGAGGATTGGAGACACTGCTAGGTACCCGGGCTGGAAGACTGGGTTCTGGTTCTTGTTTTGGCACTTACAGGCTGGGTAACAGGGAGCAATCCTGTTGTCCTCAATAGGTGTGTTTCCTCACCTGAAAGTGTACAAAATCCATCCATGACTGATGTGACGATTACAGGTCTACACAATGCGCATGTGGATTTGTCTTGCAAACGTCCACGACCAGGCCCTCAAGAAACAGTGCCGCGCATGCCCACCAAGGGGCAGCAGATCGCAGTGCAGAGGCCCGCGGCGCTTGACGTCAGGGCGCACGTCCCACCCCGTGACCGTGACTGTGACCGTGACCAAGAGCGTCTCTGGGACACGGCCGGGCGGCGCGGCGGGAGTGCACAGGACCCGCCATGGCGGCCGAAGCCTCGGAGAGCGAACCGGCTCTGCAGGAGCTCATGCGCGAGGCGGAGATCAGCCTGCTGGAGTGCAAGGTGTGCTTTGAGAAGTTTGGCCACCGGCAGCAGCGGCGCCCGCGCAACCTGTCCTGCGGCCACGTGGTCTGCCTGGCCTGCGTGGCCGCCCTGGCGCACCCGCGCACGCTGGCCCTCGAGTGCCCATTCTGCAGGCGAGCCTGCCGGGGCTGCGACACCAGCGACTGCCTGCCGGTGCTGCACCTCATAGAGCTCCTGGGCTCAGCGCTTCGCCAGTCCCCGGCCGCCCACCGCGCCGCCCCCAGCGCCCCCGGAGCCCTCACCTGCCACCATACCTTTGGCGGCTGGGGGACCCTGGTCAACCCCACCGGACTGGCGCTTTGTCCCAAGACGGGGCGGGTCGTGGTGGTGCACGACGGCAGGAGGCGTGTCAAGATTTTTGACTCTGGGGGAGGATGCGCGCATCAGTTTGGAGAGAAGGGGGACGCTTCCCAAGACATTAGGTATCCTGTGGATGTCACCATCACCAACGACTGCCATGTGGTTGTCACTGACGCCGGCGATCGCTCCATCAAAGTGTTTGATTTTTTTGGCCAGATCAAGCTTGTCATTGGAGGCCAATTCTCCTTACCTTGGGGTGTGGAGACCACCCCTCAGAATGGGATTGTGGTAACTGACGCGGAGGCAGGGTCCCTGCACCTCCTGGACGTCGACTTCGCGGAAGGGGTCCTTCGGAGAACTGAAAAGTTGCAAGCTCATCTGTGCAGTCCCCGAGGGGTGGCAGTGTCTTGGCTCACGGGGGCCATTGCAGTCCTGGAGCACCCCCTGGCCCTGGGGACTGGGGTTTGCAGCACCAGGGTGAAAGTGTTTAGCTCAAGTATGCAACTTGTCGGCCAGGTGGATACCTTTGGGTTGAGCCTCTATTTTCCCTCCAAAATAACTGCCTCCGCTGTGACCTTTGATCACCAGGGAAATGTAATTGTTGCAGATACCTCTGGTCCCGCTATCTTTTGCTTAGGAAAACCTGAGGAGTTTCCAGTACTGAAGCCCATGGTCACTCATGGTCTTTCCCATCCTGTGGCTCTTACCTTCACCAAGGAGAATTCTCTTCTTGTGCTCGACACAGCATCTCATTCTATAAAAGTCTATAAAGTTGACTGGGGGTGATGGGCTGGGGTGGGGCCCTGGAATCAGAAGCACTAGTGCTGCCATTAATGAATTGTTTAACCCTGGATAAGTCACTTAAACTCATCTATGCAGGCAGGGATAATTAAAACTGTCTGGTAGACTTACAAAGCTTGGGACAATTATTAGAGATTAATCTACCATTTATTGAATGCATACTCTTTGTGCAAGGAAATTTGCAAATATTAGCTCATTTAATCCATACTATCCAGTGAGGTAATTTTTTTCCCCCCCGAGATAGAGTCAAGCTCTGTCACCCGGGCTGGAGTGCAGAAACATGATCACAGCTCACTACAGTTTCAACTTCCACTGCTCAGGTGATCCTTCCACCTCAGCCTCCCAAGTAGCTGGGACCACAGGCGTGCGTTACCACATCCAGCTAATTTTTGTATTTTGATAGAGATGGGGTTTCATCATGTTGCCCAGGCTGGTCTCAAACTCCTGAGCTCAAGCAATCCACCTTCCTCGGCCTCCCAAAGTGCTGGGATTACAGGCATAGCCACCTTGCCTAGCCATAATTTTTATTATTAATCTCATCGTGCAAGTGAGAAAACTGAAACCCAGAGAGCTTAAGTGACTTCCTCGAGGTCATAGTTACTTACTGCCATAGTCACAATTTGAATTCAATTCTGATTCCAAGTAAGTTGTGCTTAAATAAGATAGCAGATGTGGGGAAAAGTAGGTGAATGAATAGTGTTGCTATGTGTACTGTCTCTACAAGTAGCTAATTATTTTAGCACAAAGATGTGCAAAGAAAGGAGACTTTATGGAGCGTTCAGGAGAAAAAGGATTTTGTGGTGGCCATCACTTTCATTCAATTTGTGACTGCTCTGATGGCACATTAGATGAAGTTACTGTTGATCCTGAATTACGTGAATAAGAAAAACAATTGAACTGCTTATTAAAAAGGTAAACATGTCTTGTAATGCCTATATCTTCTCCACTATACATACTCAGAAAATAACACTTGGTTGTTTGAGAAAGGCCTATATTTACATAAGTTCTAAACTATTGCAGAACACACTACATACTATTGTCAGAGGGCCAGATGACGCTCCTGTTACATGTTTATGTTACATATTTATGGGTTTGTTTGTTTGTTTGTTTGTTCTTAGACATGGTCTTGCTCTGTTGCCCAGGCTGCAGTGAAGTGGAGTAATCACTGCTCACTGCAGTCTCAACGCCCTGGGCTCAAGCGATCCTCTTGCCTCAGCATCCTGAATAACTGGGACTAGAGGTGTGTCACCATGCCCAGCTAATTTTTAATTTTTTTGTAGAGATGGGATCTTGCTTTGTAGCCCAAACTGGTTTCAAGCTCCTGGGCTCAAGCGAGCCTCCTATCTTGGCCTCCCAAAGCACTGGGACTATAGGTATGAGCCACTGTGCCTCACCCATGTAAAGTAAAAGTGAGAGCCTAACTCCCGTGCCAGTCCACAAAAACCCATTTTGTTGTCAATGCTCTCATCGTATAGCACTAATAGTAAGATTTGGGGCACCCTAGACCACGATTTATAAATGCATTCTAAACAGAAGTTCTATGGACAAATCTCTTGTCCCCACATGCACATATCCCACCATTAAAGTCACCCCTAGGTTGGTGACTTCACGGGTGTTCTGAATACATACCAAGAAACATTCCAAGTGGAGATGTGAATTCAGACTTATTTGGTCATTTATGAATAGAGCAACTGAGGACAGATCTTAGACCATTTTCCTTAAGAACAATGACAGTTTAATGATTTTAGGATTAGTAGAGCCAATTCAAAAGATTTTTCTCTTTGGAATTATTAATGGCATCGTCTCTGATTATAAAGCTGGACATGTGTCCTTTTCAGACAGCAGTCATGATAAAGGTGTGGAATATGCAATGCAGGGAGGTATGTGAGCAAGATAGCATTGCTGGTCATCGTGTGGATTACCTGACTTCAAGAATCAGGTGCGCATCTGTGAGATGATGTGGGAGTGTATCAGACCTGTGATAACAAGCCATCTTAGTAACTGCTATCTTTCCTTGGTAGATTATCAGGCTTGGGACTGGAATGGGGCTGGAAGCACAACATAAAAAGAACTGTATAAAGCAGCACTTCCCAGGAATGTCCTAGGACAGGAGCAGAATTTCCTTGAGGAAGACACGAAGCTTGTTGTTCTTGATTATCAGGCACACACGTGCTGAGAGAATAGTTTCAGTGACTTGTAAGGCAGATGCAAAATTCATCTTCCAGACTGTGTTCTTTTTTTTTTTTTTTGAGACAGAGTCTGGCTCTGTTGCTCAGGTTACAGTACAATGGTGCAATCTCTGCTCACTGCAACCTCTGCCTCCCAGGTTCAAGCTATTCTCCTGCCTCGGCCTCTGCAGCAGCTGGGATTACAGGCACCCACCATCATGCCCAGCTAATTTTTGTATTTTTAGTAGAGATGAAGTTTCACCATGTTGGCCAGACTGGTCTCAAACTCCTGACTTCAAGTGATCCACCTGCCTCGGCCTCCCAAAGTACTGGGATTACAGGCATGAGCCACCGCACCCAGCCAGACTGTGTTCTTTAAAGCAAGCTGGTTAAAAGGCTTGAGATATGTCATGCTGAACTCCAGGTTATTGAAGAAATTGGAGAATTCTGAGACAGGCAGGAAAAAATAACCCCAGCAGAAAGTAAAAGCTTCCAAGGTGATGAAGAAGGTTTGGAATGACTCGCAGAGGTTGAAACAAAAGAACGTGCCCAGGAGTAAAGGGAGAAGGAAAAGAAAATAGGCTCTTCCAGAATATCCCCCATGGCCTGCCTGGTGAGTCCATAAAAGCAAACACAGACACTTTGGCTCCTGTGTCAGCAGTTCTCATATCACCCTCCATCTATTCCAATTTTGCCCAATTCCCAATCCTTCGATTGTCTCCTGCTTTTGACCTTGTTCCACCCTCTGGATTTGCCGCCTGGAGTTGGTTTTCTCAATCTCTTTCCTTGGCATTTTGTAAAGACCTTGGTTCATATTCGTAAATCTCCCCTCTAGCAAATCTAGCTCTGGACCCCAGGATCCAGACCATCACGATTTTGCTAGTGCCTTATGCAGACCTTCCCCGGCCCCCAACTAAGTGGGGTGCAGACCCCACCTAAAGTGAATTATGAACCTTCTAAGGAACAAGCATTAACCTGTGCACCTCAGAAAAATGAGGAAGAACCACTGATGATAGCAAATCTAATAATCCTTACACATGCCATATTAAAAAGAAATATATACTGGTGTTAGTGTTCCACTATAGAGATATGCTATGGTGGTGTATCATGGCTAGTCAGGAGGTGAACTGTTTTCTTGGAGAATGTGTAGCAAATATGATAGGGCAGCCAGAGACTCACCACAACTACTGTATTGAGTAACCATGGTGTCTGTTGTGCCCACGGCCACGTCTAAGAAAAACTGCCCCATCATGAGCCAGCCGTCAGCAGCCGGGTTTTCTATTACACGATCCCCTCGGACCATAGCTACTTGGATAGGGGTGCACACCTAACAGAAGGACAGCCAATCAACCAATGATACTCTACCCGATGTATTAATTAGACCAGGAAACTGACTATGAATTGGCTTGGGATAAACATATTTTCCTTACAAGGAGCACAGAGATCCAATTACATTCCGGTCCTTGATTTTTTTTTTTTAGATAGAGTTTCTCTCTTGTTGCCCAGGCTGGAGTACTATGGCGTGATCTCAGCTTACTGCAACCTCCGCCTCTCAAGTTCAAGTGATTCTCCTGCCTTAGCCTCCGAGTAGCTGGGATTACAGGCATGTGCCACCACGCCCAGCTAATTTTGCATTTTTAGTAGAGACAGGGTTTCTCCATGTTGGTCAGGCTGGTCTCGAACTCCCGACCTCAGGTAATCCATCCACCTCGGCCTCCCAAAATGCCGGGATTGGTCATGAGCCACCGCGTCTGGCCATCCTTGATATTTTGAATTCAGAAATATGGAGCATGTTATGCTGATGGCAGCCTGGGGAATGACAGAAATACACTCAGTTACAGGGGTGCAGAGAGTCCCTGTGGACAAGCCACATCATGAATAAGAAGCTATGAGGCAGAGGGAAGACAAAACTCACAGGAATCCAGGTAAGAATGGGAGGAAGAAATGCATCCGGAGAAGCAGTGGCTTGGAGCCATGTTACCTCCAGGGCACCAGCATGATGGTCCCTACTGCAAGATCTGTGGAGCTGCCCTGACTCCACTTTGCTTCTCTGCAAGGCCCAGCTGCCCTATGGTTTCTGTTCTTGGAGTCCCAACAACTCTCTCCTATCCCATGCGAATTCTTATACTAAATGCTCCACTGCTTCAGCGAACCTGCACAAATCTGTTTTTTTGCAACAGAAAGTTTGGCCGGGCATGGTGGCTCACGCCTGTAATCTCAGCACTTTGGGAGGCTGAGGCCGGTGGATCACCTGAGGTCAGGAGTTCGAGACCAGCCTGGCCTACATGGTGAAACCCCGTCTCTACTGAAAATAAAAAAAATTTAACGTGGTAGCAGGCACCTGTAATCCCAGCTACTCGGGAGGCTGAGGCAGGAGAATTGCTTGAACCTGGGAGGTGAAGGTTGCAGTGAGCTGAGATGGAGCCACTGCACTCCAGCCTGGGCGACAGAGTGAGACTTCATCTCAAAACAAAAAAGAGTTGTAATATTTTGATGATTGGTTTGGAGAAAATTGGTCTTAAATGTACGGATTTTGATGCCATGAGTAGGAAACTAATTCTGTGGAGAGGAACACTCTCCCATTAACTCATCAATTCCCTAATACTGGTAGGGTATGAGACCAAAGAACAAGTACAGGCTTACATACCACAGGTCTAAATATTTAAGACCTATACATCAATCAAGCTTAAATAAAATACATTTGATCTTCCTATCTTGGCAAAGGTAAATGTAAATATTAAAAATATACCATTTTTTTTGGCCAAGATCAGTGGTACGCGCCTGTAATCCCAGCAATTTGGGAGGCCGAGGCAGGAGGATGGCTTGACCTCAGGAGTTCGAGACCAGCCTGGGCAACATGGTGAAATCCCATCTCTATTTAAATATTTATAAAAGATTATATATAGATAGATATTTTTTAAGAGGCAAGGTGTCACTCTGTCACCCAGGCTGGAGTGCATGGTGTGATCACAACTCACTGCAGCCTCGACTCTTGGGCTCAAGCAATCCTCCCTCCTCAGCCTCCGAGTAGCTAGGGCTATAAGTACATACCACCACACTCGGCAAATTTTTAATTATTTTTTTATAGAGTCTCACTATGTTTCCCAGGCTGGTCTCAAACTCCTGGGCTCAAGTGGTCCTCCACCCTTGGCCTCCCAAAATGCTGGGATTACAGGCATGAGCCACCATGCCAACCCTAAAAATATACCTTCATTATGATCTGGAAGGCCAGGTTTCATTTTAGAATACTTGCATGGAGTTTTTGCTCAATTTCGGATGCCACATTTTAAGAAAGATCATGACAACCTGGAGCATGTTTAAAAGATATGAAGAAGAATCAAAAGCTAAAGCATCAGGTTTTTGGTTTTTTGTTTTTGTTTTTGGTTAGCTTCTAGCCATCTAGAATGTAAACTCCAAGAAAGATGTTTGTGTTGTTCCTAAGTGTATCACTAGCGTCTAGAGCAGTGTTCTACACATCGTAGGCATTCAAAAATATTTGTTGAATTACCATGTTTTTCCCAAGGAATTTTTCTAGACTATGTATTTCTTTCATTGATAAAAGGGAAGTGGTATAGGTAGCCGGGTAGCTTGGAGAAGCTGGTCTAGAATTAAAGTGGTTTGTGGTGGGTTTGCGGAGTGACTCAAAGAGTTACAAAGGATTATGGTGACTTTGTGGTAGTCTGGGTTGGAATTGCATGAAAAGCTTCATGTTCTCAACCACCACGTTTTCCATTTTCACCTAAGTACATGGGACTTTGCGG